TTTTTTTTTTTTTTTCAAAACGGAGTAAGAATGAGGAATGCCTCTGTCTGGGTCTGGGTGTGGTGGGGGGAAGTTTATTGACTTTCTTGGGCTTGGGAAGTGAGAATACTTAATTAGGGAAGTCTTTAGTTCTGATCAGAGAGTACAGTGTTCCTGGCCAAAGGGTACCATTTGGCTGAATCTGACTTGGGGAACCTGAGGACTGCAGAGAAAGGATCTGCTTAGAGCAGGTCATAGCAGCTATGCCTTGGGTTCAGAGCAACAGTATCACTGAAATGAGGCAAGGTCTGGTCTGAATCACTTGGCTGAGGCAGGAACCTGGGCTGCTTGGGTGAAGGAGAGGGAATCTGCGTCTGTATTCCTTTGAATCCACTAGCCAGGATCTATCAATATCTTACTGCAGCAAAAGCCTGGGGTTTCTGGGGTTGAGGAAGGAGTAAGATTTATTCCATACGCCCACTAACTAGTTATATCCTAAGACGAAGGGAAATGGAGGAAGTTTTACCTGGTCAGCCTGAGAGCTGTAAGGCCCATGTTGTTTCTAGAGCATGTATTTGCTTCCCTAGGCCTGTCTTCTCAGAACACTATCCTTTTTCAGGAGAACAGCCCTGAGGAGGACTGATAATCTGCAATACTGAAAGCCATGGCCCTGGTGAGTTGATATTTTTCTTACCTTCCTGACATTGTTCTTTTTAAGAAATTTAAATTTTTTTTTTTTTTTTAGGGCATGTGAGCATTTGCTTTCCTTTCTAAAGGCTTCCTGGCTGTCAGGGTTCCCCTTCAGGATTCTGGTCCTCATTTCCTCTGATTATAGTCAGATAATCCTATACAATTCCTAAGTGCCCCTCTTCTTTTGACCCAGGATTAATATTTTCATTTAGTAAATAATTGAGCATCTCTTTTCTCAGCCCCCTCTTAGGGACTATGATGGAAAGGAAATGCATTCTCTTAAAGAAACAAGAGTAGGTTTGTAGAATGAATTGATCATGTCTGGATAGTGATCTGTTTCAGGTGGAGGTATGAGTTGCTTAGCTGGAAACAAACATGGAAAAGCTAAGAGTATCTCTACAGATCAATATTCTTCAGTAATAGTATGGGAGATGGTAGATTGTTGCAAGATCTCCTGGTCTATGAGGCTTGGAGGATTGTAGGATTGGTAGCTGATACAGACAGATCTCTGCAAATCTGATTAGGATATTCAGGAGAGACGTCCAATATGAGGTTGAACAGGAAGTATGGGTCATGAGGAATTTCTGTATGAATCACCAGTTTTCTTTATCAGAAATAAAGATAAGGATGATGGATGATTACAGTGAATTCAGCCAATTCAAAAATTGTTGAGATCTATCAGAGCTCAGAATACTATCAGAGCCCAGGAGAACCTTCTAAATCTAATACACACACACACACACACACACACACACACACACACACAGTAGAAAATTCTGGCATCAGAAAAATAATTGTTAAAAAATTTGTATTAATAGGAAGTTTTTCTTAGAACGGTAAGTCACAAGAGTGAACTAGAATTTATGAGAGCGTTAAATCAGATGCTGTTTTAGAGATATTGCTGTTTTAAAATTTATTTGTTAAAATTTTACATGTTAAAAAAAATAAAATCAGGCTGGTGGAGTGGCCCGTTGGTTAAGAGTTGGCTTGGGACACAAGCTCTGAGCAGCAGAGCCCGGTACAGATTCCACATGAGGGCCAGTGATGCTGCGCTCTCTACAGCTAAGATGGTGAACAACAGTTCGATCTGGAGCTGGGCTGCCGCGAGTCGCCGGCGACAGCAAGACGGCGTATGCTGCAGTGGGGCTGGCCGGCAGCTGGCGTGTGCTTTTGTGAGCTGCTGTGAGCCATGTGAGCGGCCTTCCAATGGCTGGTGAGCGACTGCCTCACCTGGGAAGAGCGCAATGATCACAATACCAACATGGGCCAGTGAAGTGATGTCCTCCACAACTAGACTGAAGAACAAAAGGACAGCAAATTGTCTATTCCCGTTCCCTGATTCCCCAGCACTGTTCTCCTCCCCCAATTCCCTAATAAAATCTTTTAAAAATAAATAAATAAATAAATTCAAGGAGTAATTCATCAATGTTTTAAATTAACATTCCTATATTGCTATTTCTTGATTTATTCATTTTTAAACATTTTCTTGTTTCTTTGTAAGGTATGTATGAATTTAGATTTTCTATATCACACTCTGCTTCCTTTCCCCACAACAGTTATATCACAATTTTGTTTAAATCAGTTTTACACATAATTAAGACCTTGAAAATATTCTATTGCATCTGTTCTTTACCACTCCACCTTAAAAAAAACTTTATTGTAATAAACTCCAGGCACAGAAAAGTTGAATAGTCTTATGAACTACCATATAATCACCATTCAGCTTCAATAATTATCAACTCAGATTCAATCTTGTTTCATCTCTACAGCTACCTGTTTCTTTACACACTCCATTCCCCTGACTCCCACACACAGGATTATTTTGAAGCAAATACAAATTACTGTATATGTCTAACAGATAAAGATTATTTAAAAAAAAAATAACATCATGCCATATTGCATCTAAAACAGTTAAAATAATTTGTTGGGCTGGCTGAGTGGCTCAGTTGGTTAAGAGCTCGCTCAAGGATTTGAGCTCTGAGCAACAGCGGTTTGAGTCTGGCCCGAGCTGAGCTGCTGCTGAGCTGCCAACAGCAGGATGGCTCAGCTAAAAAAAAATTTGTTAATATCGCTAATATCCAGTCAGTGTTCAAATGTCCATAATCCTCTAATTTTTAAAATAATTTATTTGAATTAGAATCCAAATAAGGACTATGCACAGCAATTGATTGATATGCTTCTCAAGTCTCTATTTGTAGGTACCCCTTCCATCTCTGTTCTTCCTGTGCAGTGTTTTGTTGTTGTTGTCGTTAGAAAAGAATAAAACAATTTGATTAATTTGTCCAGTTAGGATTTTACTGATTACATCCCTATAATATCATTTAAGTGTTTCCTGAAAATTGGTAGTTAGGCCTAGAAGCTTGATCAGATTCAGTTGGGATTTTTTTGTGTGTGAAGAATATTTCATAGGTGGTGATGTGCAATTCTATTAGGATGCACATTACATCTGGTTCTCTTTCTTTTTGTAATGTTAGCCACTGTTGACAATTATTGCCTAGATTTATTAATTCATTAAAGGTTGCAAAATGATATTTTGATTCTGTCATTTCTCTTTATAGATTAGGTGGACTACTATCTGTAAAGTGAAACTTGTCATCAGCTGTTTGGTTACCTGAAGACAGTTTGTATAGGAAAAAATGATCCTTTCCCTTTACCAGTTTTTAAAATAATGAGCTCATTTTTTAGAATCGTACAAAAGTGACCAGGAGTTTTTTATTCAGTATTGTTAATGAGCTCATGGGTTTTATTTTTAACCCAATCAGTCCATTACATTTGTTCCTCAAATTATACCATTTTTAGCCAGTGGGAGCCTCTTTAGGTTGGCTCCTGAGTCCTTTAAACCTGAAACCTTTAAAGCTATCAATAGTTTTTGATAGCTCTCTTGCTTTCTGATACAATAGAATGTTCAAATTCATCCTTAGAATTTCTGATTCAATCCTGAAATCATCTCTTTCCAAAGAACCTTGGTTTCTTTTATTTGAATATGTTACTTAGAGACTACAATCTAGACACTAGGAATGCTCCTTGCTACTATCTAGTTCTTTTCAGTGGATCGAGTCAGGAATTCGTTTGTTTTTAAATATAAAATAAACTGGTTACTCTTGCATCTATTCCTGAGATCCAAAGATTCTGGTTCTCAGTGACACCAGTATAATTGCTTATTTGTTTTACCCCACAATACAAATGCAATAGTCTCTGAAATATTTCTTTTATTACACAAGTATACATGTTTATTGTTTCAGGAATCAATGATGTTCAGGGATGTGGCTGTAGACTTCTCTCAGGAGGAGTGGGAATGTCTGGACCCAGCTCAGAGGGACTTATATAGAGATGTGATGTTGGAGAACTACAGCAATCTGCTGTCAATGGGTAAGGGCCTCTATACCAGTAATTTAGAGTTCTCTGGAATGCCTGTTGCGTCCACAGTGAATTTCTCAGCAGCTTTTTGAGTTACCAGCTAAATTTCTGCTTCCTATTCCCAAATAAATGGTTGGAGCTGAAATGAAAAGGAAGAATGGGAAATGGGCAGCCCCAGGTGGCTATAGCTGAAGCTTCATCTTCTTTCTTTGGCTGTTCCTGTAGTGGCATCTCTTCCTTGATCATCAAGGGACTGGATCTTATTTCTGGATCTGATTTACCCACAACATAACCATGTTTCATATCTTTTCTTGTGAGCAGGACTTTACATTCCTAAGCCTCAAGTTATCTCCTTATTGGAACAAGGGAAAGAGCCCTGGATGGTTGGCAGAGAGCTGACAAGAGGCCTGTGTTCAGGTGAGTGAGAAATAATTGGACAAAGCAGGGAATTACAGGTAATAACTCAGCTGACGAATGAAGAAGCAGTACCTTAGAGATCTTATCTTGGAAGCTGCCATCAAAACCCTAGGCCTATGGGAACAACTAAGTCCTTTTAGCATGAGTTCACAAATGATCTGTTTCATTCCTTCCCTTACTTACTACTCTTCCTATTACTCTTCTCCAGCATACCACCTGATTTCAAGGAGGAGGCACCCTTCACTACCCCTCCAAAGAAAACTTTTATCTGTATTTAAGATTCAGTTCCCTGCTAGCTTTTCTTCCTCTTAGACTCATCTAAATGTTCCCTACTACCACCTGCAAAACAGTATACATGTGTGTATGCATGCGTGCATGTGTGTATCTGTACCGCTTCGCCCCTCCAAGTAATGGTTTTCATTATAGCTGCCGGCCAGTGACTTTTTTTTTATCATTTGGTTGTGCATTTTTCTTTTATTCAACGTTGTTTTTTTTAAACATTACTGGGGAACAATGTGTTTTTTCGGGGAACAATGTGGTTTTTTCCAGGACCCATCAGCTCCAAGTCAAGCTCTGTTGTCCTTCGATCTTAGTTGTGGAGGGCACAGCTCAGCTCCAAGTCCAGTTGCCGTTTTCAATCTAGTTGGGGGCAGAGCTCACCATCCCATGCAGGAGTTGAACTAGCAACTTGTTGTTAAGAGCACGCGCTCTAACCAACTGAGCCATCCGGCCGCCCACTGGCAGCTCAGCTGCAGCTCAGCTCAAGTAATTGTCTTCAATCTAATTGCGGAGGGTGCAGCTCACTGGCCCATGTGGGAATCAAACCAGCAACCCTGTTGCTCAGAGCACGTACTCTAACCAACTGAGCCCCTGGCCACCCCTATCCAACAATCTGAATTTCCTAATTTGTACAAGGGAGTCTGCCAGTTGCTGCAGTTTGCTAATTATGTCAGCTGTTAAGAACTCGGAGACAAAAAATGATGCTAAAATGTATCCATAAATAACTTCTACAAAGTAGAATCTAGTAAGAGAGAATTAGCAGGAAGTCAGGGGCTAAATATGCAGAAGGGGAATTAATCCACACTGAAATAGTAGCTGGAGCCTTACAAGTATTTGTAGTCACCATCTATAGAGAGAATGTTGGGAAAAACAAAAAGGTCTGTGTCTATATTGTTAAGGAAGAGGTGGAACAGAAGAGATTTGGAAAAGAGGAGGAGAACCAGAAGAGCACTTACTGAGCACTACCATGTACTAAGCATTGGTCCAGGAGCTGGGATTATAATATTGAACAAAACGTTCAAAGTTCTTCTCTTCTGGCACCTCTATTCTTAAGGGTGAGAGAGAAAAAATAAGATATGTATAATGTCAGATGCTGATAAGTGCTATGAAGCAAGGTTTAGAAAAGGCCTCTCTGATGAGGGGATATTTTAATCAAGACCTCAAGGAGGTGAGGGAACAAGTAATGTTAATATCTGATAAAACAGATTCAGGCAAAAAGAACAGGAAGAACAAAGTCCCTGAGTTAAGAGCTTTTTGGCGCCTACCATTGAGCAGAATGAGCAAAGAGGGAATTATGTGAGAGGAAATCACCAAAGTAGCAGGATGCATGTATGTTTGTGTGCTAGATACAGGGAAGGGAGAGTGTACATGCAGCTGATTTTGGATATTGTGGGGCTAGGTAGGCGTTTTGAATTCTATTCTGAATGAGGTAGATGTAAAGCTATTTTATTCTGAATGAGATGACTTGAGCAGAGGAGTGACATCCTGGTTGTAAAGAAGCATTCTAATTCAGCTTGCTAATTTTGGATTCCTTTGGATTCCATGGCTAAAATCTAGGGAGTCCATGAACTTGGATGAGAAGAAAAAATGCTTCTTTCTATTTAGTAACCTCTGATTGAAATTTAGCACTTTCAATTATGGTGTATACAACAAACCACAGTAGTATTTGTTCTGTGACTTTGACATGAATGGAAATCAACATGTTAAAATACCATTTATGCTCATCACTATTTCATAATTATTGTAGTACTAGGCTCACTGCTAGGTCTTACCATTTGATATGTTAATAAAGAAGAAAACTCCAGACAGAAGAAGAACCCCTGTGAAGACCCTTCTAAGAGGGGAAAGCTTGGTGTGTTTGAAGAGCTGAAAAAAGCCAGTGTTGCTGGGCCCCATGAGCAACTGAGAGTGGAATGTGAGTTGAGATTAGACACGTAGGAACCACATTATTCAGCCTTTGCTGGTGATTATGAGGAGTATGGATTTTGAGTAGTGGAAGGCCAGGCCAAGTGTCATTTTGGTCCCTGAATAGATTAAAGAGTGTGAAACTTGGTGGGGAGACGGTTAGGAGGCTACTTCAGTGATCTGAGTAAGAGATGATTCTGGTTTGGAAGAGGGTATTGGCAGTGAAGATAGAGGAGGGCAGCTTTAAAAGTTAGGAGCTTAACTAGATGAAAGTTGCTGAAAGATTATATAGAGGTAGGAGAAAAAATTATGCTGGAATGAATTCCCTGCTTCTGGCTGAAGATGTTCTAATAGACTGCATTTTGATGTCTTTGAACCATGTAATTTGCTTAAAATTCCTATTTTTAATAAGAAATTCTTTCATAATAATACCTATCAAATACTAAACACTTTATTCAAATATAATTACATACATCTTCTCTTCCAGTAATCATGAGTTAAGGTTTATGTCCCTTTTACAGATAAATGGGGATTTAGAAAGGTTAAATAATTGCCTAGGAACGAACATGTAGTGAGTATCAGAGTTGGGACTCAGTTCATCAGTCTGCTTCTGGTTCCTGTCATCTTTCCATTGCAGTATTTTGCACTGTCTTATTTGCTTTCTGTCTGCCTTACACTTTTAAGTGCCACCCCTCTCAGTCACTGCAGTAGTATATGAGCAAGTCTCTGTTTCCTCCTAAGATCAGCATCACAAAATTCCAAGGCAAACAATTCCCAGCACATAACACATTCTGAGTCTTCCCTATGCCACTCACATCAAATTAGTTAAATACCTTAGACTTACCTCGGGCTCTTCCATCTGGCTTCCCTCTGTAAATCTCTCAGATTTCATCCAATATATCCTTTATTATAGAGCCTATTCTGTTTCCACCCCAGCTGGATGTGCTCCAGTTCACTTCTGACACTTAGTACCCAGAGTTAGCATAGACTCCACAGATTAACAGCGAAGCCCTACACCAGACTGCCCTTACTTCAGATGCCAGCTGCAAGTCTCGGGGTCCTTAGACCACCCATGCTTCTGACCAACTGGCTGTAAAGGCAGAGATTTCCATGAACCCTGCAGGTTCAATAATTTGCTAGTATGACTCAACTCAGGAAAGTTCCATACTTAAATTTGCAGTTCTACTATAAAGGGTACATACTAGGCTGAGGTCTGGTAGGCTTCCAGATGTGAAGGTTCCATACCTTCTCTCTATGGAGTCAAAATGTGTCACCCTCTTGGCATTTCAGTGTGTTCACCAACCAGAAAACTCCACTGAGCTTTGGTGTTTAGTTTTTATTGTGTTTTAATTACATTGGAATGATTGATTAAATCATTGGCCACTCAGTATATGGCCTCTCTCCCCTCTCCAGAGGATGAGTAGGTGAAAGTCCCAATCCTCTAAGCATATGCTTGGTCTTTCTGGCAACCAGTCTACATCCCAAAGCTATCTAGGGACCCACTATGGGTGACCTCACCAGCATAACAAAAACAGTCCAGTCACTCAGAAAATTCCAAGAGTTTTTGAGGCTCCGTTTTAGGAACCTGGTAAAAAGACCTATATTATTGTTTATTATATCACAGAGACCAAGAATCTTCCCTCGTGGATCTGTTCCTCACAGGAGGCCTTTAATGGAGATCAGAAAATTATCCACTTTTTGTAATACATATAGTATGATCATACATTCTGTTTCATACATGCATGCTTATATAGATGTATGTAGAACTACTCATTTTTTCATATGCCCAAGCAGTGTATATTTACCAGCCTCTCCAGATGATTTTTTTAATAGATTTTAATTAATTTTTTTTTTTTTTTAAGATTTTATTGGGGAATTGGGTAAGGGGAACAGCCAAGTTGTTGTCCTTCAATCTTAGTTGTGGAGGGTGCAACTAGTTCAGTTCCGAAGTCCAGTTGCCATTTGGCCACTCGTCGGCAGCTCACGTCCGCTCACCTCAAGGTGCTGTGTTCAATCTTAGTTGCAGGTGGGCGTAGCTCTGCATGGGATGTAGCTCAACCATCTCATGCAGGAGTCAAACCGGAAACCTTGTTGTTAGGAGCACGTGCTCTCACCAGCTGAGCCATCCTGCCACCTTTTGGCAGCTCAGCGGCAGCTCAGCTCGGGCGCAGCTCACTGGCCCATGTGGGAATCAAACCGGCGACCCTGTTCCTCAGAACTCATGCTCTTAACCAGCTGAGCCATTCGGCCGGCTCCTCCAGATGATTCTGATCTACATCAGTATTTGAGAATGATTGTGGTTTCCTATTTCCATAGTCTTCCTTCCACTTTCTGCATTATACAGTCATGCACTGCTTAACAGGGATACATTGTTCTGAGAAATGCTTCATTAGGTGATTTCATCATTGTGGGAACATCATAGTGTGTACTTACACAAACCTAGATGGCATAGCCTACTACTGTGCTTGTATATACTATACTTTTATACAACTGGTAGTGCAATAGGTTTGTTTACACCAGCATCACAACAAACACATGAGTAATGCATTGCATTATAACCTTAGGACAGCTGGGATGTCAGTAGGCAATAGTTCCTTTATAATCTCGTGGGACCACCATTGCATAGTATATAGTTACTGAAACGTCATTATGGGGCACATGGCTATGTCTCATTAATTTCTATGAATTTCTTGTCCATTTTGCAGATTAAACAGATATACTTGAGAAATGAATGTCACTTACTGCCATATACTTTCACTTTAATTTTTCCATTTCTGTTATAAAAGTTTAATTTCACAAATGGGGTGGAAGAATATTTACCATTTTATTTTCTTTCAGATTTGGAGTCAATGTGTGAAACCAAGTTATTATCTCTGAAGAAGGAAGTTTATGAAATAGAATCATGCCAAAGGGATATAATGGGACTTACAATGTATGGCCTTGAGTACTCCAATTTTAGAGATGTTTTGGAATATGGAAGCCACTTTGAAAGACAACTGGGATATCAAAATGGGCATTTCAGCCAAGAAATACCCACTCATGGATACATGCCCACATTTATTCAACAGACATTCTTAACTCTACATCAAATGATTAATAATGAAGACAAACCCTATGAATGTAAGAAATGTGGAAAAGTCTTTAGTCAGAATTCGCAATTTATTCAACATCAGAGAATTCATATTGGTGAGAAATCTTACGAATGTAAGGAGTGTGGGAAATTCTTTAGTTGTGGCTCACATGTTACTCGACATCTGAAAATACATACTGGTGAAAAACCCTTTGAATGTAATGAATGTGGAAAGGCCTTCAGTTGTAGCTCATATCTTTCTCAACATCAGAGAATTCATACTGGTAAGAAACCCTATGAATGTAAGGAATGTGGGAAGGCCTTTAGTTATTGCTCAAATCTTATTGACCATCAGAGAATTCACACTGGTGAAAAACCCTATGAATGTAAAGTGTGTGGGAAAGCCTTTACTAAGAGCTCACAACTTTTTCAACATGCGAGAATTCATACAGGTGAGAAACCCTATGAATGTAAGGAATGTGGCAAAGCTTTTACTCAGAGCTCAAAGCTTGTTCAGCATCAGAGAATTCACACTGGTGAGAAACCCTATGAGTGCAAGGAATGTGGCAAAGCCTTTAGTAGTGGCTCAGCACTTACTAATCATCAGAGAATTCACACTGGGGAAAAACCCTATGATTGTAAGGAATGTGGCAAAGCTTTTACTCAGAGCTCACAACTTCGCCAACATCAGAGAATTCACGCTGGTGAGAAACCCTTTGAATGTCTCGAATGTGGGAAAGCCTTTACTCAGAACTCACAACTTTTTCAGCATCAGAGAATCCATACAGATGAAAAACCATATGAATGTAATGAATGTGGAAAGGCCTTTAATAAATGCTCAAACCTTACTCGACATCAGAGAATTCATACTGGTGAAAAGCCCTATAACTGTAAATGTGGGAAGGCATTTAGTAGTGGCTCAGATCTCATTCGTCATCAGGGAATTCATAGTGATGAGTAACAAAAGTTAAAGCTCTGTCACTTTCCTAATTTTTTAAACAAAAAAATTCATGTTTGATAATTACCTTCTTTCATTATTTTGTTTTTTATTTTGCATATATTTTTCATCCAAATGCATTTCACTCTATGTTATGAATTCAGATTCTAAATTGACATTTACCCCTTCCACAATATTGTACTAATGGCAGTTGTTCAATAGTTCTTTCCTTCCCCATTATTTTGTTCTACCTTCTTGGTGAAAACATTATATTCTTTATATTTGCTTGTGTTTCAGGGCTGTTTTTTTCTAATCTGATTTATATATTTGTACTCACACCAATATCACACTTTAAATTGTGTGACCTTGTATTTTTTAATTCCTTTGAATTCAATAGAATAACTTTGTTTTTGAAGTCAGTGTTAATCTTTGTTTCACAAATATATATTTTCTTATTATACAACAAAAAAATCCAGAAACTAAAAAGCCAATATTAATTGTAATCATACCAACTATAGATGACTGCTCTCAAGTTGGTAGAACAAATCCTATCAGACTTTGTGTTTAAAGAAAGTGTAGTCATGGTATGCATATTGTACCTTCACCTGCTTTTATCGTGCCAAAAATATGATTGCCATTTCAATAAATACAGATTTTTATTATTTTAATGACATATTTAATGAGTTTTTAAAATTCATGTTGTAGTTGTATCTAAATGTTTGCAGTTCTAAAATCTGTCCTGATTAATATGACCCAAAATTTATTTTTGGATGCTTGTTTTTTCTTTTAAGACATGTATTTTAATTGCTGAAATTATCCATGTTTTCTCCTTGTAAACTCTCTTGTTCCTTTTCATCAACCCTAACCCCAGCTTCATACTAGAAAGGTAATTAACCATTGTTATCAAAGTGTTGTTTACCTTTTCAATGTTTTATTTTTTACTTATAGATTTAGTGGCATTTTATTTTATATGTATTAGTAAATATAGTTATGCTCTATAATTAATAAATATAATTAGTAAATATAAATATAATTGTGAGGATTTAATGAATGAATAAATTTAAAGTATCAGAACTATTTTTTTAAGGTTTTATTGGGGAATTGGGGGAGGGGAACAGCGTTGGGGAATTGGGAAAGGGGAACCCTGAAAGTGGCAGTCAGAGTTGTATTGGAAGTTTTATAACCCAATATGCATTCATATATTAAAATACTAGAAAGATCACTAATAAAAATCAACGAGCCTAAAGAAGCAAAAATAATCTAGAGGCTGGCTGAGTGGCACATTGGTTAAGAGTTGGCTTGGGAGCACAAGCTCTGAGCAGCAGGGCTGCCAGTTTGGATCCCACATGAGGGCCAGTGACGCAGCGCCCTCTACAGCTGAGGTGGTGAACAACACCTTGACCTGGAGTTGGGCTGTTGTGAGTGGCTGGCGACGGCGTAGGGCTGCAGTGGGCTGCTGTAAGCTACCATGAGTGGCGGGCAGCCAGCATGAGTGGCTGGCAGATGGCATGAGCTGCTGTGAGCCACTGTGAACAGTCGTGCAATGGCCAGTGACCAATCTGCCTCAGTCGGAAAGAGCGCAATGATCACAACACCAACATGGGCCAGTGAAGCTACATCCTCCACAACTAGATTGAAGAACAAAAGGACAGCAACTTGTCTATTCCCCTTCCCTAATTCCCCAACACTGTTCCCTCCCCCAATTTCCCAATAAAATCTTTAAAGAAAATAAAAAATAAAAATCTAAAACATGGGTAGAGAAAGGTATTATTAATTACAAAATGCAGAAATAAGTGAAAGAAAAAAGTAAATCTAAAATAGGAAATTTGATTATTTGACAAAAAAGTGGACAAACTAGTGATTCAGGTGGGGAAGTGAGGATGACAAACAAATAGCATTGTGAATGAGATGGAAATAACCACATATTTCAATTTTAAAAGGACTATATCTTTTTCAATGATGAAAATGCTCTGGGATTAGTGGTTTAAGTTGCATAACTTTGTGACTATACTAGAAACCACTGAACACTATACCTTAAAAAGATAATTATAAAGGTATATAAATTTTATCTCAAAGAATTTAAAAGTACTATAGACTTTTTATAATATATCTGATAATCTGGAAAAAGTTTGATTTTAATAAATTGAATTGACAATTGCAAAATCTTAATTCCCCTCCAAAATGAACATTTTAAAATTAGATTAAAACATACTTTAAATGTCACATAAATACACTAAGGAAGCCATCAAACTAGATACATTTAGGTGAAATCCGTAAAATGTTTTAGGAACTCTTCCAAGACAGACTGAAATATGAGATAGCAAGTTATGTTTTTACGGATTTATCATAATCCTAATATTAAAACTTACAAGAACACAGAAAAAAGGTAATACAGTTGATCCTTGAACAACGTGGGTGTGAACTGCATGGGTCCACTTACGCACAATTTTTTTTCAAGAAATACAATCAGCTCTTTGTATCCATGGGTTTCTAATCTGCAAATTCAACCAACTGTGGATTTAAAACAGTATTTTCGTATTCCCAACCATGGAGTCCTAACAGTATTTTTGATCCACAGTTGGTTGAATCCACGGATGTGAAAGGCCAACTGTAGTTAAGTTTTGGGGGAGCCAAAAGTTATATGCAGATTTTGATTGCAGGGATTGGGACCACTAATCCCATCATTGTTCAAGGCTCAACTGTATGTCTAGAATCAGTTATGTGATGTTATAAATTAGCAAGTCAAATATAGTAATCTATTGAAAGAAAATAAATATTTGTCACAATCTGAATTTAGGAACAAAATGTTTTCTGATAAATATGCGTACTTACCCAAACTTGCTACTGTGTTTCCCCTAAAATAAGACTGAGTCTTATATTAATTTTTGCTCTAACAATCTACATTTATTCATTTATTCATGTACAAAAATCTACACTTATTCAAAGTCATGTCTGGCTGACAATCTTAACTGGGGCTTATGTTTGGGGTAAGGCTTATATTACGAACATCCTGAAAAACCATGCTAGGGCTTATTTTCCAGTTAGGTCGTATTTTTGGGGAAACACTACTGACTTTCTGAAACTTGGAAATCAAATTGGTTTAGATAACATAGTACTCCTTAGTATCTGAACTTAGAAACCAAATAGATTTGGAAAGAAGGGATTCTTAGAATACAACACAAGATAATTCACAAGGAATTTCTAGAGTTCAAGTAACTAAAGCACTATTAATGAAAATATATTATCAAGCCCCAATATGCATCCTTCTTTTTTCTGAGCAGTATTTGACAGAATGGGATGTATTTTTATAAATAAACTTAAGAGTTATTCTACCCGCTGAAATATCACTGCATTCATCCATTTTATACCTTGTCAACTTCTCACCTGAGGAATCTTTAAAATAGTCAACAAAGTCAATCATTGCCATGCATTTTAGTATAAGGATGTAGTGGGAAGTGGAAAGGAAGTTATTAAAACAAGAACAGAACTTCAAGTTTCATCGCAATTCGAGTGTAGAAGAATATGAAAGGCTTTCATTCCCATGATAGCAAGAAAAACCTTGACAAGATAGAAATCATACTTTCCTATGAGGCTAGCTAAGAGTGGTGGGGAGGTAGGGAAGACTTGAACTGAATTCCTGATAGAAATAAGCCTTTTATAGGAGAACAGGTTGCTGCATGCCCTTCCATACCTGGGTGCAGTGCATGGTACGGGCGTGACTATGGGTATGGGTATGGATATGGGATAAGAAGTAGGCCTGACAGATGCAAAGACTTTGCAGAGATAAAGAGAGATTAGTAGAGCTTAAAATGATATTTAGGACTCTGGATGGATTAGAATATGGAAGTGCTCCAAATGAGAATACTATCAACCAACTATACCTAATTTAATGGTATAGTTAACCACAGAACACACTTGATTTTCAGTTATACAGGAAACAATATGATAGACCAGATGTTTGGTCATAAAACAGGAATCAGTAACTGCCAAAGGACTAACATCACACAGATTGTTCTTTAACAGAAAACTAAGTAGAGCTCAGTGATTCAAGATAAATAGAAAACCCTGTTTTCTTTCAGATGCTTGATAGTCTTCTCTTTTAACTTTGTGAATGACTCACCAAGAATAAATATTTGTGTGTGATATGAAGTATAGGTTGAGGTTAATTTTTTCCCCTTACATAGATATTCAGTTGTCTTAGCACTTTTTGTTAAAAAAGACTTTCATCTCCTCATTTGAGTTGCTTTGGCACTTTTATCAAAAATCAATTGACCATAAATGTATACCTTTGTATTAGTAATGTACAACTGTAAAATGAGAAAATACTTTTTATAAAAAACAAGATACTTAGGAATAAGTTTAACAAAAGATGTGAAAAAGTGTTTACATGGGAAACTAAAACATTGCTGAGAGAAGTTAAACAAGATCTTTAAAAAATGAAGGTACCATGGCTGTGGATTGGAAACCTCAATATCTTTAATAAAATTTCTCCAAATGTATCTATAGATTTGATGCTATCCCAGTCAAAATACCAGCATTCTTTCTATTTTAAAATTGATTAAATTATTCTAAAATTCATGTAGAAATCCAAAGATGTAGAATAGCCAAAATCAGTATTGAGAAAGAGAAAATTGGGGGACTTGTAGTATCTGATTTCAAGACTTGCTATAAAGCTATGATGAGGCAATCAAGCCTGTGGTGTTGTCTAAGGATAGGAAAATACGTCAATTGAGTAGAAGAAACAGTCCAGAAGTAGACATCAACAAACTCAAGTTCAACTCGTATATCCCAGCGTGTCAGAAAGTAACTTCACCATGAAACCCAGTTTCCTCCTAATTGTTACATACATTTGTGGGAAATAAATACATCTGGGAAATAGTTACTTGATTAAAATACATGAATAAAAAAAGTTTAGGAGATTTTTGTAGCTAATTAGCTAAGAATCTGGCGTTAGGAGCTTTCCCTTGTCTCTAATATTAGGCCATGTATAAAATCTCTATTAATAGTTTGTCAGTGGGAGACTTGTACTCTGCAAAAGGAAATGACTCTCATTAAAGATCTCATAAACCTTTCCTTCTGCTATAACTAACCCCACCCAGAATTCTAGTCAGGTCCTATGAGAGATATTTTCTTTAAACATTGAATTATGGTAATTTTTACAGGAAAAACTAATACATATTAAATTGCATCATTAAAAACATTTGAGAAAATCAGTTTTCTAAGGGAGAAAAACCTCTGAGAATTGAAGTGTAAAAAGACAGAAAAATTATCTGGAATTTCGGCACTGGCTTTGTTTCTACTTGTATTTTAATATTTGAATAGGAGCTGTCAGAAATAGAACTTTTCTGGGCCGGCCGAGTGGTTCGTTGGTTAGGAGTTGGTTTGGGATGCCAGCTCTGAGCAGCAGGGCCCAGGTTCGGATCCCACATGAGGGCCAGTGACGCTGCGCCCTCTACAGCCAAGATGGTGAACAACAGCTTGACCTGGAGCTGGGCTGCCGTGAGTCGCTGGCGATGGTGTAGGCTGCAGTGGGGCGGCAGTGGGCTGTCATGAGCTACCGTAAGTGGCCGGCAGCTGCTGTGAGCTGCTGTGAGTGGCCGTTCAATGGCCGGTGACCAATCTACCTCAGCCAGTAAGAGCAATGATAATACCAACATGGGCCAGTGAAGCAACGTCCTCCACAACTAGACTGAAGAACAAAAGGACAGAAAATTCTGTGTTCCTCTTCTCCAATTCCCCAATAAAATCATTTTTTTAAACAAATTCTATTGTTTAAATTAAAAGCATTTGAGATTTATCAGTCATATTCTTGTTATTGATTTCTAGCCTAAATCCACTGTAATCAGAGAGTATATTCTGGATAGTTTCAATTAGAAAACATTTTTATATGCACTTAATGGCCTAGCAATATGGTTAGTATTGAAAATGTTCTATGTGGGGCCGGCCGAGTGGCGCAATGGTTAGGAGCTCGCTTGGGACGCCGGAGGG